AAATTGCAACCTTCCCATCCCAGGCGCATTAATACGGGCTTAACATTTTTAGTTTAAAAAACTTGACAATTTTGAGTACCGGTAGCATAAAAGCAGCACGGCCTTTAAAAAAAATCATGACCCACAATACAAATTCATCAAATGTTATTAACAACATTTACTAGATCTAGTAACAACACACGAGTACGTTAACAATGAAGTTATCGACCTAATATAATATGATAACGCGAGACACAAAATAACGGAACCCTCGGTTTTCGTAACAACTTTTAAATGAAGGCATAAAATTTGATCAAATTTAGTACATACCGGGTACTTGGCTCATTCAAAAATCTAGAAGTTTATGAGGTTAAGTCTATAAAAAACAAAACAAAAAAATTGACGAGGGATTTTCGAAACAACCTCTAAATACAAAATAAGCTTATGCTCCAATCAAATCAGATCCTGTTCTAATTTTCTCTTGAAACCTTCGATACACCGGTAATCTGTATTTAGATCTATTACAGAAATGTTATGTTTTAAAACCGGCATGGTATTGTTTTAACACTAAGTCAAATCGTAAAATACAGCAATTTCTTTTTTCATTTATAAACAATAGTAATACATGTACTAATGTAAATCTAGATCATTTCTATAGCACCCACTCCCGTGTGAACGCAGCTTAAGGCATTTTACATACAGGGTGTTTACATACACGGTACGTGGACAACTAGCCTCAGTGCCTACGTACACGGTAACCGGCAACCGGGCAAGTAGTCTCAGTGTCACGTACACGGTAACCGGGCAGTTAAGAATTCCAAGTTCAGTTTTTGTCATCCGGTGTTGCCTTCAACTCCAGCCCTCCCGCGACTGTACCTTTAAAAAAAATCAATAATTCCCCCATTCCGGAGCTCTATACTTCGTAGCGCACAGACTTTGAATGAACTTTGGTGACCCCAACCGGTACTCACAATGTGATGCTAAAGCACAGGTTCATTGACCGGTAACGATGGCAAGCCCGACAAGACGTGTGTATTATTTTCTTTTATTAAATTTCAACAATTGACAGCACAGGACAAATATTGGTTTATTTTCATTCCGGTCATCGTGTACGTAGATACTGAGACTAGGTGCCCGGTTACCGTGTATGTAGACATATGCATCATGTACGAACAATATTCACGTGCGCGCACACACACTCACGTACACTCCAGGAGTTCTAAACTCTTTGCGTACACCTCACACACGCACACACCTACTTTCTTATCACACGCGCACGCTTACACACATTAGATAAAGGCCTAGCCCAGAGAAGGTCACCTTCTCGGCCTAGCCTATGTCTCAGTTTGTGTTGTACATGATGCATTCCGGCCTGAATTTCCGGTTATAGCTTTTAGAGTACGCTCAGTAGGCTTGAGCTGGGCCGATACCATGATTTACGTAGGCCTATCGGCTCTGTGCTCGCACCATTTCGTATTTAAAATTCTGTTAAAATTAAAGCGTTGATGTATTTTAGCCTAAAATTGCAAAGAATTGCAAATATTGCAAAAAATTGCGGGTTTATTGCGGAACTCGACGAAAAACACGACCGCAAGACCGCGATTTCCTGGGGGGAGGGGGGGGGGGGGGGGCAGGTGAACCGTTCCTAGCCCAAAAAGGGTTTTGATGACATCCGGCAATACGTTACTCTTAATCTTTATTGAAAAATCGACGTCTTTCCCAGTTTTTTTTTATTCCAGAATATTTTCATTTAGGTTTTTCAAACTGTTTTTTTTATTTCATTTTCGTTTTCATCAGGTGCAATTCCTTTTACTACTCCGTGCAGGGCTTCAACATTCCCTCTATTCTCCATTGAGTGTTTCCCATTTCTGGTGTGTATGGTCCCTCACCAATGGCTTTCCCACTTGGCTGATACCTCATGAAGGAGTAGAAAACTTTAGCCAGTAGTCATTGGTGGCGGGGCATGGGCAACGTGAACCGTACCGGAATTACACGGTTACAGGACAGTTTGATCTTTCCAGTCTCATGAAAACCCCGTGTACCCTCCTATCCTCAACATGAATGGCCTGTTTTCAGGGTGGGCAGGCAGTCCACAGACACAATGCCATGACAACTATACTCATTTTTATTATCTGTGTTTGAGAAAAATACGCTCGACAAACATTAAATGGGAATCTTTGACGACAGAGTAAACGAATTGTGGTGTTTGTTTATCTCGCAAACATGACAAGTAATACGATGGATGTGTGTACCTGTAGTGTACCTTGTTGTGTAAGTGTATCCCCCGACTCTATTTGATTTTTTTTTGATTTGTTGTTGTTTTAGCAGTTCCCTACTAGATAAAAATAAAATTTTGACTCTCGAAATCTACTGCGTTTTTTTGTTGTTGGTATGTTTCTTTCTTTATCATGACAAGTAATACACCTGACAAGAGTACCAATTGACGGGAAATTCTCTGGAATATTGGATTGAAAATGGCGCCTATCTTTCAGTTTGTGCGGAGATGTTGTCTCCGGTTCGTGCTAAAATGATCTCTTAATGTCAGTTTATCAAATCACAGAATACCAGTGAAATTAAAAGATCACTCAAAAGTAAGACTTGGGCCAGGCCATATAAATATTAGTAAGCATTGACAAAACGGCCCTGAACGAGATTGCCAGTGTCTTAATTAGGCCTGTCTTAGTTTGGTAAACAATAATGATTGATTCATGATGTTCACAGCCCAGGTTGGCCCTAAGAAGCAGTGTCATATCGTAAGTGGTCTTAATCAGTGTAGGCCTATACTGAGCTGTAAATATCCAGTTACCAACAGCAAGAAAATAAAACGACATAAAAATCTGTCATAAAATGTTAATTTGGTGTGCCTGGGCCTACAACTATCACGTCTGTACCGAGTACCAAACACTTATTTGTTGCCGGGTGAACTAATTTTAGAAGCAAAGAGTTTCTCATACAAGGATTTTGCGTCCTACCTCAGACTCATATTTTTCAGCATTCCAATTTCATGGCTTACTTTCGCTACACAATGACCCACCTCCAAGCCATCATAACAGTTCAAAAGAGGGCTCCTGTCTCCTTTAGAGTAAAACAATCAAAATATAATTTTTAAAAAAAACCCCAGCTCAAAACAATCACTATGTTTTTACTTCTATTTTGTATGTACTTTTATTTCCAGTAATGACATCAAAGTTAAAAGGTTTATGACACGATTTTCTCACTGAACAAAAATCCAACAAAATGAATCCATGGTCTTCTAAGAGCTTCCAAATTAAAAAAAACCCAAACAACCCAACTAACCAAACAACTTTAAAAAAAAAGTAATTTAAAAAAATCGATGTCAGATTACTCAAAATAACTGCGCGGGCAACAGTATTCAAAGTCTAGCGATATGAACTGAGTTGTACATTGCTGCAAGTCAGATAAGTAAAGGGCTCTTAGGGCACTGATCAGGACAACAGTATCACATAAAACGACACCGAACGCCTAGAAGAACAACCACTCGCTCCATGTCAAAGTATAATCGATGCTTTCAAGTAAGGTAGCGTATCGAAGAAGAAAAAAAGGGGG